TTTTTTGGGAAGTTTGAGAAAATTAAAATAAATCCTCAAAATTGTGTCAAGGTTTGGAGATTTATCCACCTTTACAGGAGAATCTAAATTCATTGCTTTCAAAGGAGCTTGTTTTAAGACGTAGAGTTAAAACAAACGGTTCAAAAATCTTGCATGCCTCAGGTTGAACAACAGGTCCAACCGGAAGCATTTTCTCAATAGTCCCAATGATTCTCGATCGACGTCAACGTCTCCAGAGTTATCTTACTTCAAGAGAGCAAGAAGTAATGTCAAAAATCTCTGCAGCCATTCTTGAGCATTTCCTTCCCAATGGAAATTAAACTGTTCTAATAGTTTTATTCTAGAGAGACTGAAGAGTCATAAAAGCCTCTTCAATTCTGGTCCTTACCAATCGGTAATTCCTCCAGAATTTCAAATCTCTGAACTGAAAGGGATAGTCCTGATGGGCGGATAAACAGGTATGTGATCATAGAGGTAGTTAAAACCTCTATGTTACTATCAGAATCCAATCAGGATCAGCTCGTCTCATTGTAACTTTTTGTTGGTGAACCACATGATTAGCAATGGTTAATTTTTCACATTAAAAGGTTGAACAAATTTATGAGAACTCATAACTTCAATTGAGGGACATGAAAACCCTTCCAAAACTAATACTTTGTGAACATTCACGGATGGAAATGTCTTCAAAATCGTATATTTCCTGCCCCGGTACATGTGCAGCATGAAAACATGCGTTGTTTTGGCATGGGTGGTATTTTTTCCAATTCCTACCCCCATTTGGAATTGCGACTAGTTCTTTCGCTTCGCGACTCATGAGGCCGGTCATGAATCTTATTCGGAGGCTTCATATCATCCAGTTATCTAGATGATATTTTATTATTGGTTTTCCGGCTATTGAGTATGGTGCCAATACAAAATTAAGCTGTCAAGGCTCTTTCTTATTCTGAGCCATATTAAAAAGCAAAAAGCGTTGTGAATACCTTAATTTTATCAATGACTTTTACAAGTTTTGCCTAGAAACACCTTATGAAAGATTATATGCCTTATAGCGATTTACGCAATAAATAGTCTATTTCATCATCTGCAATCTGGAAAATTTATTCCATTAGAGTGTGTTTTCGCCTCATAAGCTTATTAAAATGTATGGGTCTACATTGGAACTGAGTATATGCTACACTGAAAAACTTGGAAGAATTTAAAAAAAAAAAAAAAGTCAAGATGATCATTAATTATGGAAATTTTGAATGATCTCTTGTTCTCCTCAGCCAGATCTTCCTTAGTAGCTCTTAATTGAACTGATCAGTCTAGAACAAATATTCTTTCAGACGCAGTCTTCTTAGGTTGGAAATTTACCTCTGCGTTAAAAGATCAAGTCGAAACATCTGGCCAGTATGAGAAAGGCACAACAATATAAATTCCTCAATGTTTTGATCATTCACCTAGCTCTTAGGTATTTTTTCGCAACCTATGATCCTGTGAGTGTTTGTTCAAATTCAATAACATCGCAGGCACTCCCTACGTTAACGGGTTGGAAGGTACAAAATTCTCTCATCTGAACAAATCAGTTCGAGAGTTTTAGCACTGTTCCGAAGGCTTCGGTCGAATGCATCGTACATTCCTTCCAAAGTGAATACTGGAGCTGTACATTGCAATCTAAGTTTTTTCAAAACTTAGGTGAGAAGGATTTTTTCAATCCAAAAATGGACCTTTTCTGTCCCTCTTGTCAAAATACCAACGCAATCTCTAATGCGTGTAGCACGGCAATCTCCTTGCAGTGTCGATTGACACCTTTTCAATCTTGATTGGTGACAAAATTTTCTCTACGTATCCCCTACATTTAGCCTGGGAATAAATTATGAATTTGTGACAATTCGCAGAATTCCAATCGTGAGACCAATGATATAATGGTCTCCCCCTGTTAGATAGTTCAACTCTGCTTCCTTGCTTTCATTTATCCCATCTCAGAAACAAATTACGATATCAAATCCTT